ATCTTAGCTGTGGAGGGCAGTGTCACTGGCCCTCATATGTGGGGTCCGAACCGGGGCCCTCTGGCGTCCCAAGCCAGTTCTTAACCATTGCGCCACTCGGCCAGCCCTTCAATCTCTTTCAAGTGGCGCTATCTCTACAACCTAAAATTGTATCCAATTCTCTCCTATTTAAAAAAAAGTAGAAAAAAAATTAGAAGTCTCAACTTTATGCTCCCTTCTTGGTACTACCTATCTCTCCCTTTCCCTTGTCAATATTAGGAAACATATTACAGTGTTTCTAAAACATGAGTTCACATGAACTATTTTAAAGAACATTTATCAATATCTTGCACTCTATACAAAAATAAACTCAAAATGAGATAGAGACCATACTGTAAAACTTAAAACTATAAAACTTCATTTAAAAAATAGAAGAAAATCTTTGTGACCTTGCGATAAGCAAAGATTTGTTAGATATATTACCAAAATATGAGCCAAAAAAGAAAAAAAATTTCACAGTTCGGGCTTCATCAAAATTAAGAACTTAAAAAGACACTGATAATGAAAAGATAAGCCATACATTGGGACAAAATATTTGCAAATCACATATCTTATAAAGAACCTATATCCAAAATATACAAAGAGCTCAAAACCCAACAACAAGAAAAGAAACAACTGGATTAAAAAATAGGCAAAAGGTCTGAATAGACATTTCACCAAAGCAGATAGAGAGATGACAAGCACATGAAAAGATGCTCAACAGCATTGATTATTAGGAGACTGCAAATTAAAACTGCAAGGAATTACCATTAAAACGACTGACTAAACCAAGTGTTGGTGAGGATGAGGAGGATAGGAACTCATACAATGCTGGTGGGCATGTAAACTAGTACAGCCTCTTTGGAACAGCTTATCAGTTTCTCAAAAACTTAAGCCTACACCTATCATATGACCCAGGCATTTCACTACTAGTTATTTATCCAAGTGAAATAAACATATGCACATACAAAGACTTGTACACAAAGGTTCAGAGCAGCTTTATTTGCAATAGTCCAAAACAAAACTGATGTTCTTCAGCAGATGGATGGGTAAACAAATTGTGTTATAGCCATACACATATAGTATGCAGAATGCTACTCAACAATAAAAAGGAATGAGCTATTTATATGCACATAACATGTACAGGTCTCAAAATTCTTATGCTGAGTATAAGCCAGACAAAGATTCCATACTGCATGATTCCATTTCTATTAAATTCTAGAAGATGCAAAATGACCTAGAATGACAGTAGATCAGTAGTTGCTTGAGGATGGGGGACCAGGGGGTATGGGAGGCAGGATTACAAAGTGTCATGAGGAAACATTTTTGTTCCATGAATGCATACATATGTCAAAACTTATCAAATTGTATCCTTAAA